GCTGGATACAGGAATCGAGTCCGGAATTAGTCGTCAACATATATGCTCTGGCTGGATACATGAATCGAATCTTCAAACTCTTCAGATGTGCCCTGGCTGGATACAGGAATCGAATCCGGAATTAGTCATCAACAGATATGCCCTGGCTGGATACAAGAATCGAATCTTCAAACTCTTCAGACGTGCCCTGGCTGGATACATGAATCGAGTCCGGAATTAGTCGTTAACAGATATGCCCTGGCTAGATACAGGAATCGAATCTTTAAACTCTTCAGGCGTGCCCTGGATGGATACAGGAATCGAGTCCGGAATTAGTCGTCCACAGATATGCCCTGGCTGGATATAGGAATCGAATCTTCAAACTCTTCAGACGTGCCCTGGCTGGATACAGGAATCGAGTCCGAAATTAGTCGTCCACAGATATGCCCTGGCTGGATACAGGAATCGAATCTTCAAACTCTTCAGACGTGCCCTGGCTGGATACAGGAATCGAGTCCAGAATTAGTCGTCAACAGATATGCCCTGGCTAAATACAGGAATCGAATCTTCAAACTCTTCAGACGTGCCCTGGCTGGATACAGGAATCGAGTCCAGAATTAGTCGTCAACAAATATGCCCTGGCTGGATACAGGTATCGAATCTCTAAACTCTTCATGCAGATATGCCCTGGCTGGATACAGGTGTCGAATCCACAATTAATCGCTCACAGATATGCCCTGGCTAGATACAGGTATCGAATCTGGAACTGGGAAGGTTGATGGTAATCTTTTTTTATTGACCTTTTCCTGAAAAGGCAAAACATCAGTTATATGCAATGTCATGATGTATGAAATGCATGATGTCATGATGTTTTCAGGAATAAGTGAGATTGTGTCGTATGCACTTTATCATGTATGTAAGCAGGATGTATGAAATGTGAAATGTCTATGAATGTATTTTCGTCTAGGAAAATAAATCCTTGACGAATACCGGGAGCTTGTTGAATCCTGGGCTGATGTTGAAGAGTAGAATTATTCGTTTCCGCTGGGGATGATGGTTGCAAGAATAAACCGGTAGGAGAAGATGACTCTGTTGGGGAATAAGCTTGACGAAGAGATCACTCTGCGGGGAATTACTCTGTGGGAAGAGATACTTCGCTGAGATTTTGCTGATAACTCCGCTAGGGATTCCATTGATGAGCTTTTGTTGAGGGGTTTGATGAACTCCGCTGGGAGATAGGAAGAACTTCGCCGAGGACGATCTTTCCGTGGTAATTAACTGAGGATAACCCAATTATAGGCTCTGGTGGGGGATAACCTTCTGAATAAAGCCGGGGAGAGATGCATTCGTACTCTACGGGGGACAAGCTTCTAGAATCTACTGGGGATATCCAACTCTTCCAGGACTGATGGTAGCCTAACTCTGCTTGGGGAGAGCGTTGCTGACTTGCTGGAGATACTGTGCCTTTTTGGGCTGATTGGGGGACCAACTCTGCTTGGGGAGAGTCTTGCTGGAACTTGTCTTACTCTGCAGGGAGTGGAGGTAACTTGGTTACATTCTTCAGCCGAATCTACCTTGTACCTGGAGGACAGAGCAACTTGTACAGTTCAGACAATTCTTATTGCCCCAGCTTATGTGGGAGAAGGTACCTGTGGAGGCGCTTGATGACTGCCGATTTGACAAATCTTCTTCTGGTAGGCAAGTGACGAGATGACGGGACATAGTCGTACGCTTTAATCCCTAATATTTGCCTGGACCGCCCTTTCGGGTTTTCAGTCCACCGAGATACCCATTTTTGCCCAAGCCGCCTTTTCAGGTTTTCGACTTGCCGGGTGTACAAATTATTCATTTTCATCCCTTATTTTTGCCCGAACCCTTTTGGTTCGCCGGGAAGCCCTTATTTTTGCCTAGGTGTGTCAACCTAGCGGGTCTTTGATTATGCGTAGTATTTTTTCGACTATGTCCGTGCTCTTAGGATACAGGAAGTTGTCACTGTCAGTAGTGCAGCCATGTGACCAGAAGATGCTTGATCGTGCAATGCCCCAAGTGACTCAGGCGGAGATTTGCCCCTGGCATTTTGAGAGATTCTCTGAATCTTGACTGGACTGCCCCAGATGATGGACAATAATCATGCCGTCCCCCTTGATTGGAAGTGTTTTTCCATTTGAGGTGACCTTTTTGTTGAGAAGATTTTTGTTCACTGGATATTCATCGTGCGAATTTCTCTGCTGCTTGAACAAATGGTCATATGCAAACAATGTTATTTAAAAAATGCAAAGCTTATGTCTGTCTTGAAGTTTTTGAAAATGCAGTTTTCAGTAAAACAAGCAAATTTTGTAAAATGTGATGTCAACTCAGGATTTTACAGCAAGCCTTATAGGAGTCAGGATACCTTTGTAACAGTATGCTTTCGAACTAACCTATGCTCCAGCTAGGACTTTTAAGGGTTATAACGTGGCCTGGTTCACGGTTTAAGAAATAAAGGATAAAGGCTCAAAATTTATTTGTACCCACCCGTTCTTCGTGATGTTCTTCAAACCTAAACTCAGCTAATCGGGCATTAGACCTTTGTTTGAGTCTTTGCTCTAATATTTCGGTGACGGTTCAGATATTGACAGTTTATTTTGAATAGGCAGTCATTTTTTTGGGTTGAGAGTCTATAGGATCTCTTTCTTTTTGATTTTATTATCCCTATTTTTTTTTGCCTGAACTGTTTCTTTTGTGATTACAGTCAGCGGGATGCCCCAGTTTATGTAAGTCCCCTTCATAGGTTTTGACTTATTGGGCTTTTATTTCTGAGAGATAATGACTGCCTGTCTTTATGATTATTCGGAACCATCACTGTCTTTTGTTTTGTAATGACTTCTTTGGTGCCATTCGTTGTGCACCTGGATCAACTGAGAAGACTACCCTGCCTCAGGTTATGATTAAGGGTTTTAATTTTTTTTGGGAAAAGAAAAAAAACTCCTACTTCTTTGGCTCGAAGGGGTTGACGAGGGATTATCTTCCTTATAACTCCAGTGTTTAGAATTGAAACAATGCTTGTACCTCATCAGCGGGGTCTGTTCAAAAGCATACTGTAGATTGTGGTATCGTTTTCGTCATCCTCCCTCAAGAGGCTTAGAATTATTAACCGAGAGTTGAACATCAAAAAATGAAAGCAATTTTAAGCATAGTAAACATAATTACTTCAAAACAGACACGTGCAATGCATTAATGAAATAAGATAGTTTGACATGAATAAAATGTTTGAACAATCAAAGAAAAATACAACTTGAACATTCGAATGAACAAAAGTTTTCTCAATCCTAGCCATGTTTTGGCAAGGGAGCAGTGATCACATTGGGAGTCTCAGCAGGCTCGAATTCGATCTCCTTGGCATCGATCATATTCTGGATCTTGTATTTCAGCGCCCAACAATCCTCAGTATCGTGCCCCGGGCTACCGAAATGATAAGCACACCTCGCATCTGGGTTGTAATTTGGAGAAGAGGTCTTGAGATTTGCAGGAGGGTTGATCACCGCAATTAGATTCATCTTCAACATGTGATGCAGTGCTTGTGACAATGGCATGTTGATGTTGGTGAACTGTCTTTTAGGCTCGTCTGGCCTTCGTTGATTTCCCTTTTGTGGTTGTCGGCGTGACGCAGAACCAGAGATCATGACTGCCTCTGCATGTTGGTCACGACGACTCTTTTGGCTATATGCAGCATTAGACTCTTTCTTCCCCGTGTAAGGCTTTTTATGAGTATCAGGAGGTGTGGCCTCTTGAATCTTCCCACTTTTGATGCCCGCTTCGATTCTTTCCCCAGTCAAGATCATATCTGTAAACCCAGCAGAAGAATTTCCAATCAGATGGTTGAAGAACGGCCCAGACAGGGTCCCCAAGAACATGTCAACGAGTTCCCGGTCAATCATAGGTGGTTGCACCCTTCCAGCAAGGTCTCTCCACTTTTGCACATATTCCTTGAATCCTTCACCCATCCCTAGTGACATACCCTAGAGTTGGGTACGCGTAGGAGCGAGGTCGGAATTGTACTGATACTGCTTGTAGAATGCAGTAGCCAAATCCTCCCAGTTACGAATACTGGCTCCATCCAGCTGATAGAACCATTCAAGTTGAGTCCCTGAAAGACTATCCTGGAAGAAATGGATCTATAAGTTCTTGTCTGCAGTGTAAGGTTGGATCTTCCTTACATATGATCTGAGATGCAGCTTAGGACAGGAAGCCCCGTCGTACTTCGCAAAAGAAGGTGCCTTGAACTTGTGAGGGATCACCACCCCAGAGGACAAACCTAGATCTTCGAAATCCAGACCGGGTACCTTTTGTATCTCCATAGCGCTTAACCGGTCCTCCAGCTGTTTGTACCTGTCTTCGGCAGGAGGGTACTGTTCATCATTGAAATCCGTCTCGTTGTCGGAGACCACAGGACTAGGAACCCTTCCCCTTGTGGACTGTCCTTCCTAACAGATGAGGTAGTCAGCTCAGCCTCATTTTGGGATCCATTCCCAGATATGCGTCTGGGATTGAACAAAACAGTCCTCTTCTTCTTCTTTTTCAAAAGCAAAGTCTTCAACTCCTATTGACCCTGGGCTAGGCTCATAACCAACTCCTGGAACTGGGCATTCAGGGCCTGGAGGGCCTTGATAGCTTGTTCATTGGATGATTCAGGATTCATGATGATTGCTGAAATAAACAGCGAAGAAGGTTAAGCAACCTGTAGAAAAGAGTACCTGTAATGCAATGATATGTATGTATGCATGCGATGTTTTCAAGGATCTCGCGGGGTAAACAAGAAAATTGTTAGAATTTTCCTCTGATATCTTGTATTGTTGAATTAAACTATTTGTTTTTTCTGATTTATTGCTAAAACTTTTCTCTGCCTTTTTATGATTTTTGAATGAGATGGTACTGGTTTTCTTCTGAATAACTGATCGAATTAGGGTTGAACCGGTTTTATTTGAACTGGTTTATGGGGTATGAAACCATTGTTGAATTGAATTTGGTTTTGTTTATTTGTGATGTGCATTATTGGATTTACTAATTGTGAACTGGTTTGGATGCAGGTCGGGTTATTGTTGAAATGGACTGGTTTTGAAACATTTGAAGCAGGGTTGGGATTGTTGCAGCAAGGCTGGTGTTTAGTACTGATCTTGTTCGACAATTTGCTGGAACTGTTAGAAGTAGGTGAGAAATTAGAAGTAAAATTGTTGAAATATGTTGTTTTGTATAGGGCAGGTCTCTGTTTGGATTTTATGGTGCAGGATGAATTTGTTGAATTGGTCTTGTATGACTTGACAAAATTTGGCTTATGTACCGGTTCTCTATACAAAACGCAGGGCTGCACAAGTTTCAATGATAAATTGATTTGGAGCATTACTTTGGAAGCATGATCCAAACTTAGGAAGATGATGAAATGAAGCTTGGAACAAAGTCTAGAATTTTAGCACGAGATTTAGAACACTGCATTATTTTAGTATAAGCTTTTTTTGGTATGAATCTTCTTATAAATAATGGAAATTTGCACTTTATTTGAAATGATGAAAAGGATCTTTGGCTTCTTTTTTTAAACCTTTTTGTGTATGAATTTTGGGATTAATGAAGAAAACCTGCTTATCTCAAATGTCCTCTTCCAAGTACATTCTTCATTTTGATCTTGAAGTTGTAATGGTGTTCTTGCTTTTGTACAACTTTGTGGAGTTTTTTTGGATGACGATACTTTTGTATCAAACTTGAATGGATCATGATATAAACTTGAATGAACATAAAAACAATAGAGTGATGTTTCTTAAATTTCAAGATGAACTTTGATGATTTAGCATGCATTAAATAATTGATGATGAAGAATAATATCTTGTGCACTTCGTCTGCAAAGAATCTTGATTTCAAATGAATCCCTGACTTTCTTGAACAACAAGTCGTCTTTAAAACTCATGAAAACTAAAGTGTTTTGAAACTTGAATTAGAACTCCCCATCATCTCTTGAACTTATTTTGAATGGTTAATGAATAGAAATACCCCAAGAATGTCTTTGTAACCTCAATCTTGAGCAAACCAAATACATATCCTTTCCAATCTCACAAACTCTAAACACTTTGATTCGTTTGAAGAAGAACTAGAAGAATTGGAAGAATTGGGCTTTATTGAATATATACACATCAAAACACTGTGAAAACTTGATATCGCACCACCACTGAACTTTGAACCTTGGGAGCTTTATTGAATGAAATTTCTGATATGCAGATGACCTAATGGAAGATATGAAAATGCAATGCAATAAGCCAAATAAAAAGATGTAAGGGTAGGACAAATTTGGGATATGACAACTTCCTCTATTTAATCATCTTAAATCTGAAAGTGAGATTGGTGTCAGCATTTCGAACATTCGAGGTAGAAGAAGATTAAATACAAAATACCTCGAATTTGTGCGAAAGAGGAAGGAGGGTTGTTTTGTTTTCTGGTAATATCTGCTAGGGGAAAATATTTGTTTTTATGGTGGAATGGTGATAGCTGATAATGTGGTAACGATGCCATTACATAGGTTCTCGAAGGAAATATTTGTTGAAGAAAAAAGAGAGGGTGAGATCGATGATAGGAGAAGTATCTATCAGTAGGATCTGGCATTCCCGAAAAGAAGTTGGGTGAGATCGATGATAGTGGAAGTAGCTATCATGTAGGATCTGGCATTCCCGAAAAGAAAGTGGGTGAGATCAATGATAGCAGAAGTAGCTATCAGTAAAGATCTGGCATTCTCGAAAAGAAAATGGGTGAGATCGATGATAATGGACATAGCTATCATGAAAGATCTGGAATTCCTAAAAAGAAAATGGGTGAGATCGATGATAGTGAAAGTAGTTATCAAGTAGGATCTGACATTCCCGAAAAGAAAGTGGGTGAGATCGATGATAATAGAAGTAGCTATCAGGTAGGATCTGGCATTCCCGAGAAGAAAGTGGGTGAGATCGGTGATAGTGGAAGTAGCTATCATGTAGGATCTAGCATTCCCGAAAAGAAAGTGGATGAGATCAGTGATAGTGGAATTAGCTACCATGTAGGATCTGGCATTCCCTAAAAGAAAGTGGGTGAGGTCGGTGATAATGTAAGTAGCTATCAGGTAGGATCTGGCATTCTCGAAAAGAAAAATTTGCTGGAGAAAGTTGATTACAGCGCATTGACTGGATGCGTATGTGTTTAGAAAAGTGTATTTGACTTTGCTTGGATTCAAGAGTACAAAGGTACTGGCACCGTTAACTGGGAGTTGTGATGTAGTTAAGGACATCAGTTGGGAATTTCCCATTGTTTTGGTGGAGGAATGATTTGGGCTTTCATGCAAGGCTCCAAATCTGGCTTATGCTTTATGTGCATGTTTGAATTTCTTTTTAATGCATAATGAACCACATAAATGGACATGCTACGCGTTTTGAGGATGCAATGGTATGCAATGATAATTATATGCAAAGAAAAAGTTTATCAGAAACTATAGCTTGCTAGATCGAGATATCAAAATGGATCGATACTGTTGAGGACTGAATACCAAAGATCATTGGTAACTTTGCTAGGGATGATGAAAGGCTCTCTGGGAAGTGTTGTTGTATTTCCCGGGGAGAAATAAACTCCTGAAGATGATCTGTGGAGAAGACTCGCTGGGGAAGAAATAATTTGTTATGATTTCTGTACATCCTAGATTGCCTGGGGATGGTAGGATTAGACATAGATATGTTGGGAAGTTGCATGTTGAACATCACTTGGATTTCTTCGGATGTCCCATGTCTATTTCATTCCGGGGAAATCCACCTTGAACTACTTAGGGATCAGAAGATGGACATGAACCTCTTCGATTGCCCCAAGTTTGCTTCTTTGGTGGAGATTAGGTGACAATCGTCTGCGGGAGTTACATGTTGGACCACATAGAACTCCTCGAGTGCCCCAAGTTTACTCTATTGAGTAATTATGTGTTGAATGTGCGTCACATACCCCAAGTCTGCCTCACTGTTGGGGATTAGTGATCATTTATGTGAACAACATTTTTTAGCGTCATCTGGAATGCCCCAAGTTGTCTTTTTTGATGAAGATAGGATGACAATCATCTGTGGACTTGTTTTGCTAAAAAAATAAACTTAATATGCCCCAAGTTACATCACTGGGAATTTTGTGCTGAACAGTGCCCCAATTTCCTCATTTGCTGAGAATTTGGTGCACGGTGACTTCTGAAGAGATGATGATTTCTGAAATGGCCGACAAGATTGGATGATTTCGACTAGGAGAGCGACTAACACAACATGCTACCTGCATAGAATAATAACACTTGGATGCCACATCATTCCTGTTAGTTAATTAAAAATCCATGCAAAATCATGTTTCAGTTTTAGCTCATGTTTATTGTTATTCCCCAATGTTTTCATTGCAATGATTACTAAGGAATTAAATCAAAATTCCGCATACGAAAAATGGAAAATAAATAGAGAAAGCTTTTGGTAAAATACCAATTTTATTGATTGAAGATCTTGCCTTTGAATAAGCGTTCATACAAAGAGGAAACTCCTAAATGAGGTAGTTGCGAAAAAATAAAAATGGAAAAATACAAAAGGAAATGACAATGAGAATTTCTTGAATTTCCATTAGACCTGATATTGCTATATCCCCATATCCTTGATCGTCTCAATGCTTCACCGTTGAAGAGTAGTAGTTGGACTGATCTATTCACTACCAAGGGTGCTCATAGTTATTCGTGGAGGGTATTCAGACTACAAACTCTCTCTCATGATCCCTAACTTTTTCTTGGACCTCCCTTTCGGGTTTTCAATCCAGCGGGATACCCATTTTTTCCTAAGTCACCCTTTCGGGTTTTCAGCTTAGCGGGTACTTTTTTTCTTCATTTCTATCCCTAATTTTTGCATGGGTTTTTCCTTTTCTTTCCACCGGGGTGCCCTTATTTTTTCCTAAGTCTCCCTTTCGGGTTTTCGACTTAATGAGTCTCTTTAGGTGTAGTATTTTTTGACGATTCTGAATTAACTGGAAGCGGAGTATCTTCCCCATCCATGTTGGTCAAGATTAGACCTCCTCCTAAAAAGGACTTCTTCACTATGTATGGTCCCTCATAGTTGGAAGCTCATTTTCCCCTTGGGTCAGATTGTGGTGGAGGAATCTTCTTCAGAACTAGGTCTCCTGTATGAAACTCTCGAGCTCGAATCTTCTTGTCAAATGCTCTCTTCATCCGTTTTTGATACAACTAACCATGAAAAATTGCAGTTAAGCATTTTTCTTCAATAAGATTAAGCTGATCGAGCCTCGTCTGGATCCATTCTGCCTCATCAAGCTTGGTATCAATTAGAATCCTCAATGATGGAATTTCCACCTCCACCGGGAGCACATCATCCATGACATATACAAGTGAAAATGGAGTTGCCCTAGTTGATGTACGTACTGAAGTTATGTACCCATGTAGAGAAAAGGGTAACATATCGTGCCAGTCTTTGTATGTCCTCACCATCTTCTGGACAATCTTCTTTATATTTTTATTGACTGTCTCGACTGCACCATTCATCTTTGGCCTATAGGATGATGAGTTGTGGTGCTCAATCTTGAATTCCTCACACAACTCTTTCATCATGTTATTGTTGAGATTGGAACCGTTATTAGTGATGATTTTGTTGGGAACCCCATAACGACATATGATTTCTTCCCTGATGAAGTTTGTGACGACTTGCTTAGTCATGTTTTTGTAAGAAGCAACTTCGACCCATTTGGTGAAATAGTCAACAGCTACAAGGATGAATCTATGCCCATTAGAAGCCTTAGGTTCAATCATTTCAATCATGTTGATGCCCCACATTGAAAAAGGCCATGGAGAAGTCATAACATTCAAAGGAATAAGAGGAACATGAATCCTGTCAGCATACACTTGGCATTTGTGGCACATCTTTGCATACACACAACAATCACTTTCCAGTGTTAACCAAAAGTAACCTGCCCGCATAATTTTCTTGGCCATGGCATGACCACTGGCATGTGTTCTAAAAGAGCCCTCGTGGATTTCCCTTATGATCGATTATGCTTCGTGTTTATCCATGCATCTGAGTAAAACTGAATCATAGTTCCTTTTGTACATGACGTCTCCTGACAAGAAGAATTTGGATGTCAACCTCCTAAGCATACGCTTATCACAAATTGTGGCACCCTCAGGATACTTTTGCTTCTCAAGATATTTTTTGATGTCAAAATACCAGGACTTTTCTTCCGACATGTATTCAGTGGAGAGGTGTTGTACCCCAAAATTTTCCCTCTCACTTATCAAGAATTTTCTCACAAGATCTCCTTGGGCTCAAGACTGCACTAGGGTTTGATCGGCTCAAGACTGCACTAGGGTTTGATCAGCTCAAGACACCTCCTTAAG